ACAAAAACACTGTAGATGTTAAAGCTGGGAGCAAATATGCAGATAATTCACCTAATCCCCATTTTATAGCTGATGATTTGGGCATTTTACAATTAGTTGTCCAAGATCACTCCTTTAATTAAATGGTGAAAATGTGGTACTAGAATCTAGGACTTCTGATGCCTGGTCTAATTCATTTTCTCCTAAAGCATGCTGACTTTCAGTGAGAACAAAGCTTTTAGCTAAATAGCCAAATGAAAGTTTAAAGTGAAGAAAAGATTTTAAAAAATGTTAAGCTGAACTATACTATTAAAAACTTAAACTTGCTTTGACCCTCAAAGATGAAGTTCTAAATCTAAGATATTTACTGTTTAAGCTTTTATTTTTATTTTTTTCCTGTTTATTATAAAGGTCATTATTTAGTTTTAGAAACAGGAAATGGAAAACTGGCCCCTCTAGTTAGGGACATGTATACATCGAAGTATTCCATATTTATGAGAATAAAGAGCTTTTGATTGATACCTTCAAAAAAATTCTTTTCTAAATTTAATTTATCTATTTGTTCCTTACTCAAACCTTTAACTTCACAGGTTTAGACAGGTAGACATTTGCTACAAAAGAAGAACTGAATGACAATGAAGCACTAAATAATGAATGAGATGACACTGATATCTGGTTGCCAGGACTTGAAAGCTTAAGATAAAGATTGAAATAAAGTTAAGTGACAGATCTTGTAAAGTAGGTGAAAAGACACAGTATGTTATTGGATGTACCATAACCTACTGTAGAATTCTCTTACAAGACAGGAACATGTGTCCGACACAAATAAAAGTTTATTTGTTTAATAATTTTTTCACTATTTAATAAAAGGTAAAATAAATAATTGTTATTTACATTACAAATGGATTTGTTTGATTTTTAAAAGATAAACAATTTTTGAAATAATAATTCAAACCTGGGAGGTTTAATTAATGATCATTTGATGTGTTTAAAATGAATTGTTGTGATGGTCTTCAATTCATCTTTAAAATCATTATTTTGGCCTACTGAATGAATCATGGTTTTTTGAAGTTTTTCTTTTATCTTTTTACTTTTTGTTAACCGATATAATAAGTCTAAACTGGAAAATGCAGAATGCTTCAAAGAATTCTTATTTAAAACTATGCTACGGGGCTTCCCTGGTGGTGCAGTGGTTGAGAGTCCGCCTGCCGATTCAGGGGACACGGGTTCGTGCCCCGGTCCGGGAGGATCCCACATGCCGCGGAGCGGCTGTGCCCGTGCACGTTCGGAGCCTGTGCTCCGCACAGGAGAGGCCACAACAGTGAGAGGCCCATGTACTGCAAAAAAAACCAAAAACCAAAACCAAAAAACTGTGCTATGAAATGTAAATACCATTTATGCAGAGTATGTGCCCCTCGATGTGGTATGATTTAGGAGGCTAGGGAAGCCTCTCTTGAATCCTCAAATATTTCCTATCTGCTTTGTAGGATGCAAAAATTTAGATTGTTTTTATATAAGTGTTTTATATAAGCAATGATGTTCACAATGTAAATATTGATTGGAAAAGTGACCCAATAATAACTCGGTTAGTGTATAAGTCATTGTTAAATACTCATCTGAGGGAAGCTTTTGATTTGGGAGAACATACCTTTCAAATGAAGTATTTTTGAGCGCCTGTCACTCTGCTTGGGCTGAGGATATAGAGTAATATATAATTAGTCTATGTGCGCTGAATAATGACATAAGTATTGTCATGTTAAAGAAACGTAATCAGTGCTATGACAAAGGAAATCAGAGTACCAGAGGACCCTAGAACAAAGGGATCTGACCTAATGTGAAGAGTGAAGGTCACCTCATCATGTGAAGAAAAAGTAGAGTGTACCAGGCAGAAAGGGCAATCCAGCCAGGGATTACATATTTACTGATTTAATATTGTCAGTTTTTCTGCCTGATATTATACAAAACATATGATATACAAATCACTATTTTCTATATACATTTTCCCATAAAATCACCTATGCATAAAACAGTCTCTGAGAGGTAAAATGTTAGTTTCTATCAACAGGATATATGTATGTGTGTATGTATGCATATATGCACACACACATAGAGATACTCATACCATACATATATGCACACACACCTATATACATATACCTATATACGTGTATATATATTGTTTTTATATCTAGATATATCCATATTCTATATTTTAAAAATATTTACCCCATTGTGCTGCTATATTAAATGAGCATTATTTTATGCACTGTGTTCCATTCATGGCATATGATAGTTCACCGCTAAGCTCCTGTTAATTATTTCTGAGTATAATGCCTCAAAACTATTTATGAGCAAAGTCTCTCACCAAATGTGGTGTTAATAGTGGCTGAATGTGTTCCTCCCCTAGGCTCCTGATTCTTCACTCAGGAACCTATGCCCACTGGGAGTGGCTGATGCTTCATTATCTCCCTGGAGATGCCAAGCCTATCAGACACTGACACCAGCCATGTGCTACATTCTCAGGAGCTGCCCCTATGTGAAGGCTGGCTACCTTCCAGAAGAATTGGGGTTAATAACACTCTGTCCTTTTCTTATTTCTCATGGTTTATTTTGTGCTGCCTTACACAGTTTAATAGTTATTCTAATTTTTTCTTAGAGGTTAAGTCGGCGAGGAAATGGGCCAGGAGCTGAATATGGGTGGCACCCCCTACCCTATATTCGGAATTCCCTTTCCCTTCACAAATGATGGCTTTAACATGAGACCAAGCTTCTCTTATCAGTTTGCTCCCATAAGATATTTTAGTTCCTAAGCAAATAAACTTCTGAAGAGTCCTCTCCAGTTGCCCAGGCATGCTTGCTCAGATATGTTAGAACCACAGCAGTGAATTATTATATTTGTGACATATAATAATGGACATTTTTGGGAGTAGAGATATTTTCAGGAAAATGTTTCAATTTTATTAATTCATGAAATTTTCTAGGTAAAATGGTGCCATTCACATCAGTTTTTTAGTAAAAATTAATTTATATTCTATTAACCCAATTCAGCTCAACATTTTAAATCACACATGTTCATGCTATATTATTTTACTGTGATTCCTTCTATAATAAATCATTATTGGTGACTTTCCATGTCTTGGTAGAAAGCTAATAGCTCATATGTGAACTGTACAGGTTTTGGAATTCAGACAAAATTTGGTAAAACCCTCATCCTGGCGCTTACCAAACTTAATGTTTGGTCTTGGGCAAACTATTTAATTATTCCAAGCCTCAATTACAAAACGAGGGTTATATAGGTACCCACCTCATGATGTTGTTGTGAATTTTAAAGGAGATATAATCTGGACAAATGCTTAGTACAGGGATGCCAACATAATAAACTTCTAAGAAGCAATAGTTGTTGCCATTACATATTGTTGTTTCTTTAAGGTATTTTTTTCCTTCTGAATCAATTTAAGAAAAGGGCATCAAGATGAACTTGTTCTTTAAAGGAAAATGCTAAAATCATGGTATGGATAAAACAACTTTCTGTGAACCTAGTTTGCTCCAACTTAAATCTTTAAAAGTCTTAATGGAAGACTTTCTACCAGCAGACATATTGTCTGTCCCTATAATAAAAACTCATACAGGGAAAGAATAGATAAAAGTGTTGATAAGAAAAGCTATTTTTATTAGTTGATAAGAAATAGGCATCTGGGGTCCTATGGACATTTTAAAGAACAATGTATCTGAATTTAAATTCTGAACTATATTTAGTCATTAAATTCAGAATATGTCAAAGATAAAAATTTCAATCTCACTAGTCTATTCAGTTACTAAAACTCATTTAGATATTGTATCTTCTGTTTATCTGGTTCTGTATGGCTAACCCGAAGGTCACTGAGCTCAAAATATGATGCTTTCACCAGGAAAAACCCTAGCTAATAAAAGACTTATCTGGAACTGAACTTTCCTAGATTAGGGGGTCATAGAAAGAAACAGCAGTGCATGTCAAAACACTAAATAAAGGCTACTCAAATAAGATAATCAAGTATTTATTGAGTTCCTGCTCTGTGTATAGCTCTGAACTATGAGACATCAGAAAATCCAAATACAAGCAAGACTCGGTCTCTAACTTCAAGGAGCATATGACTGTGGAGAAGAGTTAAGTAGATACGGCTTCTACAACCAGAGATTCAGAGCAGTTAGATTAAGAAACTCCAATGAGTAATGTTGAGAGACTATTTGGAGCACTCGGCAAGTTAGAACTGAAACATGTACACTCAGGCATGTGGCTGAGACATGATTGGAACAAAGATTGAGTTCAGACTGTGGAAGGCTAAGCGGATGATTTTTTGCTTAAATATTAAACCATCTTAAAGAACTCTGCTTGAGTGGGATAGGGTAGCTCATGGCAGGGTAGCACTCCTTCCTAGAAAAACTAGGAAAGCCAAATAGAATACAGAAACCATCTGTTTGAAGGAGATGGAGAATTACAGAAGCCAACGAGAAACAGAAAAGCTAACATGAAAAAGCGGGAAACAACCTAGAGAAGTGAGCTGACCTTTGCTAGCTTATCCTGGGGAAATGTGCCAATTCTGGGCATGGGCAGGAAACTGAGAAACCAGACCAAACTTGCTGGGAATGCCAGTGGTGGGGACAGCCACTGTGGGGTGGAGGGCCACTATGGACAGAAGAGGCTTGGGGGGTTTCCAGCACAGGGCCAGTTTCTCCTCAGGATATTTTCCAAATACTGTGGATACCTGGGCTGGGAGACTAAAAATCTGAGCAGAAAGCCTCTGGACAGCAGAGTAGAAATGTTGGAATTCTGAGAAGACAGTGAGTAAAGTGTAGGACACACAAGAAGGAGGGATCTGCAGATTACACCACCATGCTCTTAATTAAAAATGCTGGAGGGCCATGGGTATAGCAGAGATAAACAGAACATTATCAGACTTCTACCCAGTTTCAACTCAGCACAGTGCCTGTTTATATTAAGGTGACCAAGCACCCTTCTATCTGGCAACTAGAAGGAAGGGTGAATTCTCTGTAATAGAAGATAAGACTCTCCAGAGTGGGGCAATAAAAATATTTTACAACAGTATTCAATGCCAAAATGTCTCACCGGGAAAATAGCTAAATATTAATCACAACAACATCTACATAAGAAAGGTAAGACTTTTTTCCTGTATATATTCAAGATTAGGTTTAATAAATACCAATTTAAGCTGTTACAGATACTGGTTAAAGGACCATGTTTGGGAAGTTACAGTATTTAATTTATTGAAGATGATACCTGTGTATTATATGAATGTGTTTATTAACTTTTGAACATTATTATTTACCTACTAGTCTATAATGACTTTGAATAGTCTGCTATGTAAGAATATATTTAGTCATTTAAAACTGCATATTATTATTTGGTTGACTTTGTACCAAAGCATGATGAAAGAAGTGTTGTTTTCTCAGTACTATTCTAAGGGCAGGTCAGGTATTCACAAGTCTCAAATACACTGTTTACTAGGATGCAGTTTGAAGATTTGTTTACAAAATATACTTTGCTGCCTCAGTGTAAACTCTATAGAAGTTTTGTTCAGATATGCTTATTAAGGAAATAATAAGACCCGATTCCTATTTTGTTCAACTCTACCTTTACCTTTGACCTTGCTCTAGATGTCTTCTTGAAAAAATCTAATCTTGACAGTAGTCAATTATTGAATTGCCGACTCATTTCTTGCCTCCCCTTTAACTTTCCTCTCAGAAAGATGTCTACATCTGTACCATTGGCATCCTATTTCCTAGTTCACCATTTCCATCTCCTTAAGTCCAGCCTTTCAAGATTTCACAGCACTGAACTATTTACCAATACATTGCCTATTACCGTGGACTCGGCAAACCATGGCTGCTGAGACAAATCTGCTGTGGACTGTTTTTACACAGTCCACAAGCTAAAATGTTTTTAAAGGGTTGTTACCAAAAAGAAAGAGAAAGAGAAAAGAAGCATATGAGACAGAGACCATAGACAGCCTTCAAAACCTAATATTTGCTATTCCCTTCTCTAGAGCTTCTACAATTATTTATACACACTGTTTATCATTCAATTAAAGAAAACTATTCTTGTGAAAGAAAGGGACACATAACTGAGAACCAAGAGTGAAAACAATTGGAACAGATATAAATGTGACTGAGATATAGGTATTAGCTGAGGAAGACTTTAAAATCACTATGATTAATATGGTCAAGGGGCTTCCCTGGTGGTGCAGTGGTTGAGAGTCCGCCTGCCGATGCAGGGGACGCAGGTTCGTGCCCCGGTCCGGGAAGATCCCACATGCCGCGGAGCGTGAGCCATGGGCCCGTGAGCCATGGGCCCGTGAGCCATGGCCGCTGAGCCTGCGCATCCGGAGCCTGTGCTCCACAACGGGAAAGGCCACAGCAGTGAAAGGCCCGCGTACCGCAAAAAAAAAAAAAAAAAAAAATATGGTCAAGAAGTTAGAAAAAAGATGGAACCACAGAAGGTGAGCCGGAGATTTTCACCAGAGAAAAGAATCTAATGGAAATTCTAGAGATGAAAATCTCTATTAAGAAAATTTGGGGGAAAGAACATATTAGGGCAGGATTAGTGAAGTGTAATACAGACCATTAGAAAATATACATATTGAGCCATAAAGGGAAACAATGTGAAAAATGTAGAAGTGTTCGAGAGGTGTAGAGCAGAATAAATATGACTAAATTATCTTAAATTGGAGTCCCAGACAGAGTAGAGAGAGTGAATGGGCAGAAGCACACTTCAAGAAATAATAGCTGAGAAATTTCCAAAACTTACAAAATGAGAGCAGCTCTGGAGAGCACATAAAAAGAGTGTTGCAAGATATGCAGAAAGGTCACTCAAGTTTTTCGCTGAGTTATGATCTAACATGAAAAAAGAAAACTAAAAACTACTTAAGGCCTGAGAAAGAACCCTTGGAAAGGACATTAAAACAGTAATTATAAATATCTTCATAGCCTCAAAATATCTATTATGAATATATCTATATTTTTAAGAAGGTAGAGGAAAATATGAGCACAAGAAAGAGAGAAATGGAAGAAAAATTGAAAACTGTAGATTTATAAATAAATTTATTTTGTTTTTTTAAAATTTTTATTTTATGTTGGAGTATAGTTGATCAAAAATGTTGTGTTAGTTTCAGGTGTACATGAAATTAAAAATACACTGATTGGGATTAATAGAAACTTAAGCATTGCAGAATAAATGATCAGTGAAACTGAAGACATAGCATTGGAAAATATTGAAAATAAAGCATGGAGAGAAAAAAAGACAAAAGAATAAATAAATAGGCCACCAGGGAACTTGGAGATATTATCAAGTGATCAAACATATACATGTATAAATGAAGTCACAGGAAAAGAATATAGAGAAGGGAGGCAAAACACATATTTGAAGAAATAATGACTGAAAAATGTCCAAATTTACTGAAAACTATATACCCACAGATTCAATTCAAGGACTTCAAAGACCCATAGATTTAATTCAAGGAGTTCCATGATCCCTTGCAGAATAAATATAATAAAACTACTCCAAAGTATATCTTAATGAAATTGCTTAAAACTAGTAATTAGGAAAAAATCCAGATGAAAAGGACACATTATGTACAGGGGACAAAGATAAGAAGCATGTGTGGACAGTCACCATTAATGTACTGAAAGAAAACAAACACATAACACACACGCATACACACACACACATGCGTGCACACCCACACACACCTCTGTTGGCTCTGAATTCTTTAACCAGTGAAAGAACTCTTTCAAAAGTAAAGAAAAGACTTTTTGAGCCAAACAAAAGCTGAGAAAGTGTATCACCTGGAGACATGCATCACAAAAATTGTTACAGATAGTTCTTTAAACAGAAAAAATAGCACACAGAAATTTGAATCTTCATAAAGAAATAAAATGAGCCAGAAATGGTAAACATGTAGATAAACATAAAAACAATTTTTCCTATAAAAACTTTAAAATAATTTACATGACAAAGGATTTGGCAATGATTTCTTGGATATGTCACCAAAAGCACAGGCAACAAAGGGAAAGAAATTGATAAACTGGACTACATTAGAATAAAAAAAAAACTTCTGTGCATCAAAGAATACAGTCAACAGAGTGAAAAAGCAGCCCATGGAATGGGAGAAAATATTTGGAAATTATACATCTGATAAGGGATTAATATCCAGTGTATATACAGAACTCCTAAAACTCAACAACAAAAAAATAAACAACCTAATTAAAAAATGGGCAAAGGGTTTGAACAGACATTTTCCCAAAGCAAATATACAAATAGCCAATAAGCACATGAGAATATGCTCAACATCACTAATCATTAGGGAAATCTAAATCAAAACCACAGTGAGATATCACCTCACACTCATTAGACTGGCTACAATCATAAAACCAGAAAATAACAAATATCAGTAAGGATGTAGGGAAACTGGAATGCTTGTATACTGTTGGTGGAAATGTAAAATGGTACACCTGCTATGGAAAAAAATATAGTGGTTCCTTAAAAAATTTAAAATAGAATTATCATATAATTCAGCTATTCCTCTTCTGGGTATATATCCCCCCAAATTGAAATGAAGGTCTCAGATATTTGTATACCCACGTTCATAGCAGTGTGATTCGGTATAGCCAAAAGGTAGAAGCAACACCAGTGACCATCAACAGGTAAATGGATAAGCAAAATTTGTTATATACACACAATAAAATACTATTCAGCCTTAAAAGGAAAGGAAATTCTGACGCATGCTACAACATAGATAACTCTTGAGAACATTATGCTAAGTGAAAGAAGCCAATCACAAAAAGACAAAGGCTGTATGATTCCATTTATATGAGGTACCTAGAATAGTCAAATTTATAAAGAGAGAAAGTAGAATGGTAGCTGCCAGGAATGAGGGGAAAGAGAATGAGGATTTGTTGTTTAATGGGTATAGAGGTTTAGTTTTGCAAGATGAAAGAGTTCTGGAGATTGGTTGTACAACTATGTGAATGCACTTAACACTACTGAACTGTACACTTGAAAAACGGCTAAGATGATAAATTTTGTTACGTGTATTATTCACAATTACAAATAAAATTAAAATTAGATTATACACAGAGGTAATATGTGTAACAATTACATAAAGGACAGAAGGAAGTGAATTGAAGTATACTGCTATAGGGATTTTATGCTACACATAATCTGGTATAACTATTTGGAAACAAAGTGTGATAAACTGGAGACATATAATGTAAATCCTAAAGCAACCACCATAAAATAAAACAAGGAGGAATAGCAAGTGTGGCGCTAAAACAGAATCTTTTAAAAAGGCAAGGAAAAAGAGAAAACAACAGCAAAGAGCAAATAGGAAAATTTGAAAGCAATAGGTTATTGCAGATTTAATTCTAAACATATTGATAATTATATTAAAGGTAAATTGTCTAAATATTCTACTTAAAAGGTAAAAGGTCAGATTGAATTCAAAAAGTAAGACCCACTATATATTATCTACAATGAGCCTATTTTAAATATAGACACAGAGATTAAAAGTGGAATGACAGAAAAATATAAACCTAGAAAATACAAATAAAAGACCTAAATTGGCTATATTAATATCAAGACAAAATCAATTCTAAAACAAGGAATATTACTAGGAGTAAAGTGAGATATTTCATAATAAAAGGTTTCAATTTATAAAGACATGACAATCTTGAGTGCCTATATGCCTGACAACAGACCTTCAAAATACATGAAGCAAAACTGATAAAATTGAAAGAAGAAACAGGTAAATTATATCACACACACATATCCCACAGCTATAGTGGGGATTTCAACCCTCTTCTTTCTATAATTGATAGAATGAGTACAAAGAAAATCAGTAAAGATACAAAAAACTTGGATAACAATATCAACCCATTTAACCAAACTGAAATTTATAGTGCACACCATCTCAAACTAGAAGAATACACATTCTTATGAATCATTAATCAAGCCTCAAAAAACATGAGGATTAAAATTGTACAAAATATAGTCTCTGAATATAATGAAATTAAACTGAAAATCAATAACAAAAAATATTTCTGGAAAATACTGAAATACTTGGAAGTTAACGACTTCTAGACAAAAAAGCATTCACAAGGAAAATTAGCCAATATTTTGAAAACTGATAATAAAAATGATATCTGAAGGATGTAGCTAAAGCATTTCTTGAAGGGAAATTTAGAGCGATGCTTCTAATGCTTACATTAGAAAATATGAAAGATCTCAAATCAATGTGGAAACTTCTATCTAGAAACTAGAAAAAAGAAGATAAAATTAAACTTAAACAAAATGAGAAAATAAAGATAAGAATAGAAATCAATAAAATTAAAACTAGAAAATTGATAAAAATCAATAAATCCAACAGTTGGTTCTTTGAAAAAATCAATAAAGTTGATAAAATTCTGCCCAGACTGATGAAGAAAAAAGAGAGAAGACACCAATTAATAATATCAGAGTGAAATGAGGATATCACTCCTTTAGGTGTATATGCATAGCTGATTCACTTTGTTATAAAGCAGAAACTAACACACCATTATAAAGCAATTATACTCCATTAAAATAAAAATAATGGAATTTTATAAACAACCTTATGCCCACCAACTCAACAAGTTAGATGAAATGCATAGTTCAATGATGAAATGTCACTTACTGCCAGACTCACCTAAGAGGAAAAGATAACCTGAATAACCTTATATCTATTACAGATATAGACATCATAGTAAAATCTTTTCCACAAAGAAAACTTGAGGCCCTGATACCTTCACTAGTGAATTCCACCAAATATTTGAGGCTGAAATCATATCAATTTTACACAATCTGCTCCTGAAATAGAAGAGAAGGGGATAATTCCCAACCCATATTATGATGCCTGTATTACCTGTTATCAAAACCAGATAATGACATCACAAGAATACTACGCTACAGTGGCCTTAATGAACAGGGGAACAAACAAATAAACAAAACTCCATAACAAAATTTTAGCAAATCAATTCCAGAAAATATAAAAAAAAACACATCATGAAAAACAGATTTATCAGAGAGATGCTAACTTGATCTAACAGAGTTGTGTGTTGGTGTATGTGTAACAACAGGCTCCAGAAGGGGGAAAAAGAAAAGCTAATTTGCAGCATTTGTCAATTTTCCTGTTGTAATTCCCACCATGGACAATTTCCTTTCAAGTATCACTGTTCATTTTACTGAATGCAGAGTTGGAAAAGAGGCACACAAGTGGCATACTACTGGTTTAACATTTAAAAATCAATTCAAACAAATCATTATATTAACAGTGTAAAAGAAAAAAAAACCAACTATGATCCTCTCAGTAGATGCAGAAAAATATTAGAACATATTCAATACAAACTTATAAAAACTGAGCATATTAGTTTCTTAGGGCTGCTATTACAAATCACAAACTTGGATGGCTTAAAACAGCAAACATTTATTATTATACAGTACTGGAGGCTAGAAATCCAAAATCAAGTTGTTGGCAGGGAAATACTTTCTCTGGAGCCTCTAAGGGAAACTCTTCCTTGCCTCTTAGCTTTTGGTGGTTGCCAGCAATGCTTTGTATTCCTTGGCTAATTGATTACTCTGATCTCTGCCTCCATCTTTAATGGCCTTCCCTGTGTCTATTTCTGTCTTTCTTATCTTATGAGGACAACCCTAATCTAGTATGACTTTATCTTAATTATAACTATAAAGACCTTACTTTCAAATAAGGTCATATCAACAGGTAGTGGGAGTTACAATTTAAACATATCTTGAGTGGGGGGAGGCACAATTCAATCCATAATACGGAACAAACTTGGGAAAATGGCATCTACAAAAAATCTACTGCATTCATACTTCAAAGACCAAATGCTTTCCTCTTAAGATCAGAAAAAAGGCAAAGTTTTCCGGTCCCACCACTTCTTTTCAACATTTTACTGGAGGTCCATACTTGATCAATAAAGCAAAACAAAGAAATGAAACAAATTCAGATTGAGAAAAAAACAATAAAATTGTGTTTATTCACAGACAACCTGATTTTCCATGAAGAAAATCTTAAGTAATATACTAATTAGCTATTAAAGCTAATTTATGGGTTTTGTATTGTTATAAGATATAAGATCAATATACAAAAGTAAATTATATTTCTATATACCAGCAACAAACAATTGCAGCTTTATAGAAAATAATTCCATTTTAAATTATATAAAACATGAAATAATTGGGGATACATTTAAATTTAATGTACATTTAATACTGTATGCTTAAAACTGCAAAACATTACGTGATAAATTAAACACCTCAATAGAGAGAATGCATGAACATAGATCAGAAGGCTTAATACAGTTCAGATGTGAATTCTCCTCAAAGTGATCTAAAAATTCAATGCAACCCAATCAAAATCCTTTCAAGTTTTCTGTAGAAATTGATAAGCTAATTCTAAAATTTATATGAAAATGGAAGACTCTATATAATCAAGGTAAATTTGAAAAAGAAAAAAAAATTTTGAAAAAACATGGACTTTATCTGATTTCAAGAATTACAATTAACCCTTGAACAGCGACGGGGTTAGGAGTGCTGACCCTCCCCTGCAGTTGAAAATTCGAATATAATTATTGTCTGACCTCCACATCCCAGTTTCTTCCATATTCACGGTTCTGCAACATGCATTCAAACAACCTAGGGTCATGTAGTACTATAGTATTTACTATTGAAAAGAATCCACAAATAAGTGAACCCACGCAGTTCAAGCCCATGTTTTTCAAGGGTCAACTGTATTATTACTCTACAGTAATTAAGATAGTATTATATTAGCATGAAGATAAACATATAGGTTAATGAAACAGAACTGATTCCATATTAGGCCCACATGTGTATTACCAAAGATTTCTGAAAAGTTCCAAGGAAATTAGTTAGGAAATTCCAGTAAGTTGTGCTGGATCAATTGGATATTTATATGCAAAAGATTAAACCTCATTGCCTACTTTATACTATATATATCAAAAGTATCTCAAAATGAATCATAAATGTAAGTATAAGAGCTAAAAGGTAAAATGGAAAGAAGAAAACTTAGGGAAAAATACTTCCCCTTTTTGTAGGTTTAGTTGTCAGTGAGGAGGACATATATTTAGGAGAATTTGCTTTAGTTGTGGAATAGAGAGGCAAGAAAATACTACTCCCACTAAATTGCCATACTAAGGAGGGGTTGTGGGGATTTTAGTGTTTTTCCCCTGATCGATATGGTTGCCCTTCTTTCTTTTTTCCTTTATACGCCTTCCCCCGATCATGAATGTTCCATACATATGGAATTACATACATTTCTGGTCTTTTTTTCCCTCTAGTCATCTATTTTTCTCACTTACCTATTGCTGTATAACATACCGTCTGAAAATTTAGTGGTTTATAAAACAGGCATCTATTTAACTCAAAATTCTGCAATTTGGGCAAATTTGGTAGGATCCGGTTGTCTCAACATCATGTGATATCAACTGTGACCACTCATGGCAGCTCAGCTGAGATGGACATGTCGAAGATGTCCACGAGTTCTTCAAGACTTCTTTCCATGTGGTGTTCTCTTATCATTAGAAACGTATAGCCAGAGCTCCTTAAAAGGCAGCAGGATGCTAATAAAACTCCCCACGTGGATACACTTCATTGGGTAAGCTATTGTAAAGCCTCTGTCAGTATTATTCTTGCTGTCTCACGATCAGATTCAGTATTGGAGGAGAGGACACAAGGTGTGTATCCTGGGGATATCTCCAGTATAACAGTCTGCCACATACCAGAAGCCCTGTCTAAGCAGGTAGCTCTCTTTTATCAGACTTCCACTGCTGCCTACTGCTTGTTATATATGGATTTTGTGTAGGTGGGAAGGGAGATATTTCCCTGAAAATTTCCCCCAAAGTTAATTCTGCTAATTCTACTTGTTCTCTCTTGGATTCTAGTTTTTTCTGGAATAATCATTTCCTTTGCAGAGCCATTTTCCAAGCTTTTTTTGAGCAGTTTTCTCAACAGATCAATCTAATCCTACTTATACCTAAATCTTCTAGTGATATCTACCAAATTTTAAATTTACAATTATTTTTAATTTTTATGATAGATTTTTTTTGTTTCTTTTTGTCCCCAAATATCTTTTCTATCCTTTTTTCCTGGGATATATGGTTGAAAGTAAAGTAAAGGAGACACATAGGCTGTGTCCACCATAATGTTCTGTGGTGATGAGATAAATGACTCTTGTTGGCTCCATCTCTGAATCCTTTCCATTAGAACTGCCAGCTTCCCCCATTCTCAATATACCCACAAGTCACAACTCTCGGTATTCACTTTTCTGTATCTCTCACATTGACTCCAGAGGCTTATTCACATGACTTGCTTTGGTCAGTGGGGTATTAGCAACCATGATTCAACAGAGGCATATATATGTTTTCACACTGGGAATTATTCTCTTGAAATGTTCTTTCATGGAACATTTATAGCAGCCATGCTATAAAGTAGTCCAGGCTATTTTGCTGGAGAGAGGTCACATGGAGAGGTGCTGGTGGATGAGACTTCATGAACTGAGAGAAAAGGACATGTCATGCACAAAGGAAAGCCTTGCCCGCAGACAAACTGGACTACTCATGTTTCCCATAAATTCTTTCTCGTTTTTCCTCCTTTATTGGTTTTCTCATGTTTTTACTTCCTTCTAGAATGTGTATGCCTCTCTGCCTATTGAAATCCTACACATCCTTCAAGATGTTGAGATATTAAGTATTGAGCAAAGTGATAAAGGTAACCTGTATTTCTAATATGTTTTGGCTTATCTTTCTTTACTTCTTACCAAGCAGAAGATTCCCCAGGATTTATGGTTGTCTCTATTTTCATTAACTAGGCAGAACTACAACACTGTCATTATTTTAAACCCAAGTGATTGCAAACTGTTGACATGCCAAGAAAACTGCTATTGTAGTTGATTGAAGCTGTTTCAGGAGTTCATTTTCTTTTTCAGCTATCTGGTTCTTGCAATTAGTGGGAAATGGACCCAGTGATAATAATTACAGCAGTCGTTTTTTTGAATGCTTACAGCACTCTGTTAAGGCGTTTACATGTGTAATCCGGGTGTCCCAGACCTCAGCATTCCGTACTTATCAAAGAAGGTCCTCATCCAGAAGCTACCATGCTATTCTACTCCTGCTCTGGCTCCACTTGGTAAAATCTGCTCACAAATCCATTTGGTAAAATCTCATAGTGTCATTTCCCATTGTGAAAATGCCAATCTACATTAGGAGTGTGGTCTCCCTATTTCTCCATTGCTTGGGACTACTTGGTTTGGGTTGTAAGAGCATGGGTGGGAAAGGAGCTTCCTACCCAATTCTTTCCCAGGCTTGTCATCTAGGTTCTGAAACAGGTCAGCTTATATAAAGAGTCTCATAGATGATAAAAAAATAATAGTAGATATTTATTAATCATTGGCCAAGCACTTTACTTTTTATCCACAGTTCCATATAATATACCCAACACCTCTACGAAATAGTATTATTATCATCACCATTTCTCAGATGGGTATGCAGACTTAGAGAGGTGAACATGCCCAAGATCAAACGAGTTTCCAAGAAATTGCATCAGTTTTTGTCTGCCCCTACTCTAATCACAGGAGCTCAAATCCAGTTCAAGGAGCTTGATGGGTGTCATGCATGTCCCATTTCATTTGTTTACCCAGGTCTGATTGCCACCAGGAACTCTCAGCCCATTCCCCCATTCCACTGCACTGATTTTGCAACCAAAGCTCCATCTCTTATAAGAGAATGAAAACAGATATGGAGGAAAGGAGGATACAGAGGAGCTGCCTGCATTAATGTGTGTATCCAACTTAGTCAGCCAAAACCAGCCCATTACACTTGCATTATCTTGCTATTTTAAACAATAAATACAATATATATGATGGTTAGCCTTGTTCCTGTTTTATAGCTGAAGAAACTAACACTCAGCACTGTTAAGCAATCTGCCCACACTCACAAAGAGATCATGTGATTATGTGCAGAGTGACTAGGAGTGCAAACTGAGCTCATGAATCTGTCGTAATATGTCCTGGAGAAGGCCTTAGGAAAGTGAGAAAACAGAGTTTACATAAACTGGGAATTTCGAATATTTATTTAGGAGGAAACATTTTTTGCTATCAATTTGAACAAAGGGACTTCCAATAACTAGAGATATGTGTTGAGACTCTCAATACAGAAAGAGATAACATGCAGACATGAACAAGTAACCGCTTAAATCAATCAGATTTATATCTGTAAAAAAAGTAATTTCACATTTATGTTCTAATATTGATGTTATGACTTCAGGCTTCTAGCAGGAAATGAGAGGAATGCCCTGTCTTATTTTCCCCCAGTGACTTAGAAGCCCATGCCAGGAACAAACTGCAAGTACCCAATTTCCTCAGTAAATGCCACCCTAGCTGTTTCTTACTTTTCATGTTAAAATATTTCTAATACAGACAGGGTTTGTACGCTCTCTAAGGAGAATTGGTTTCATTTTTATTATATACTTAAGGAACACCTTAACTTTTCAAAATGAAAATTAGTGAGGAAGGAAATAAATTAAGATGAAATAGAAGGTATTTACTGAACCTGGTATATTTCTGAAGAAAAGTGTGTGGTATACCACATAATTATGAAATTAGGTCTTAATTAAAATGGCAAATGCTTAATGTGTTAATGCATTTCATATAAAATTAAACTCTATAGTCCAAGGTAGCAGGGAAAACTTTATTTTATCCCCCTAAAAATACATAAATAAAGATTCAGAAGAAGATGACAGCAATCTAGTCTGAGATTAGGTTGTAATTTTATTATATCAATCAAGCACTTTTTTAAAAAAAATTATTAAAATCCTTCCTTCTCCCAATATATTTTCTTTAATATATTAGGTTAGTATTATAAATCTATTCATTTTCCTGGGTTTCTTAATATTACGTAAAATAAGCATATTCAGAGATGAGGCTGCATCACCATTTCATATTTTTAGCCAGGAGGGGTGCAATGGACTGAATATTTGTGTCCCTCCCGAAATTCAAACATTGAAATCCTAACCTCCAGTGTTACAGTATTAAGAGGTAGGGCCTTTGGGAGGTGGTAGGTCATGAGAGTTGAGCCTTACTGAATGGGATTAATGCCCTTATAAAAGGGACCCTACAGAGATTTCTTGCCCTCTCTTCACCATGAGAGAATACAAGAAGTTGGCAATTTGAAACCGGAAGAGGGCTTTCATCAGAACTCAGCCGTGCTGGCACCTGATCTCAGACTTCTAGCCTCCAGAAATGTGTGAAAAAAATTTTCTATTTATAACCCACTCAGTCTGTGGTATGTTTTTATAGCAGCCTGAACTAAGACAAGGAATATGCTTTATAGCCATCAATGAGAAAGGCTTATATTTCTGATAAACTTCATCGAATGAAACATAAACTTTCTTATATTTATTCCATAGCATAGAATTTGTAGATTATAATTTTTTATATAAAGTGATCCACACAACATTCTCAATAAAAAAACACCTTCTTGGGCTTCCCTGGTGGCGCAGTGATTGAGAGTCCGCCTGCCAATGCAGGGGATGCGGGTTCGTGTCCCGGTCCGGGAAGATCCCACATGCCGCGGAGCGGCTGGGCCCGTGAGCCATGGCCGCTGAGGCTGCGCGTCCGGAGCCTGTGCTCCGCCGCAACAAGAGAGGCCGAGACAGTGAGAGGCCCGCGCACCGCGATGAAGAGTGCCCCCCCCGCCCCACCCCCGCTCGCTGCAACTAGAGAAAGCCCTCGCACAGAAACGAAGACCCAACACAGCCAAAAATAAATAAATAAATTTATTAAAAAAATAAATAAATAAATAAATAAACACATAAAGCCTCAATGTTTTACCCCTAGAAGGATAATCAGTAGGTGGAAGGGGGCAGCTGGACTGAGTTACTCCACATCTATTGCTCTCGAATTATGTTTTCTCTACCCCTCATTTCGCCCCCAGAAGCACACTGCCTTTTTTTTTTTTTTTAAAGACAAGGTAGGGGGGCCTCTCATTGTTGTGGCCTCTCCCGTTGCGGAGCACAAGCTCCGGACGCGCAGGCTCAGCAGCCATGGCTCACGGGCCCAACCACTCTGCGGCATGTGGATCTTCCCGGACCGGGGCACGAACCCATGTCCCCTGCATCGGCAGGCGGACTCTCAACCACTGCACCACCAGGGAAGCCCCAACACTGCCTTTTTTTTAAAAAAAAATTCTTATTCAAGCATGGACACAGAGCTTTTCTATTTGTTGTCTTTCTCACGGCTGAAAAAGGAAAGAATTTTCAAAGATTTTATACAATACTGAGGTACAATGAAAATGACATTAAAATAGAAAGTATATGAAGCTTGAATAGGTTACTGATTCTACCATAACTAGTTTACCTTCAGTACTACAGATGCATGAATAAGTCCAGCTGAGCTTAGACATCAGAAGAACCCTACAACTAGCTCAGATAAAAATTTTGATCCACAGAATTGTGAGCTTAACAACTTTTTAAAAATAGAACTTATTGGAGTATAATTGCTTCACAATACCGTGTTAGTTTCTGTTGCACAACAAAGTGAATCAGCCATATGCATACACATGTTAACTTATTAATAAGTTAATAATATTTTATTTTTAATCCTATATTTTGGATCTTTACTTTTTGTAGGGATGATAACTTTCAAATTTTAAAGGTGTTAATATGATGATATACAGAAAATAAATCTAAAAATAACTAAGAAATGACACTAGTTTTACAGATTTATTCACATAATTAATTAACTCATAATGGCAATCTTTTAAAAGAAAAACTTCCAACGAACTTTAGAAACCACCCATAAAAAGGAGGAAATGGAGCCTGAAAGTGGTATTCCAAAAGTAAAAGCTTTAATAAAGTTAATATTACTAATAATAAATTTTTCAAGTACAGCAATATAATCAAAATAATATCACTTGGAAGCAGAGATATCAGAATATATTAAGCAAATAGTTATATCATCATAAAACATTTTCCTACAAAAATTATGAAAGTTATTGACAAAGGAACTACATTTCAAATGGAGCAATAAAGCATAGCATTCAACTTTTATACAATGAGACCATTTATTCAAACAAAATCTTATACGTAATCACACTAAAACACATCTGAAACCATGGCTTCTCTAGAATGATAGGTGCCAAAATGATTATATATAAGAATCACGTAGGAAGTTTTAAAAGCATGCAGATTAGACCTCATCACAGATAATTAAAAATAATAATCCTCCCAAGTGATTCTAACACACAGGCAGGGGTGAGAACCAGGGCTCTGGAAAAATTAGAAGGTGACCTGAGGCCCATTCACTTGGACCACTGCTGTCAACTGAAGAATCCAGGAAATAGATTTGGAAGACCACTAGAATAACAGGTTGTTTCTAACTGACAGTAAACAAATTATATTTTGAAATTAGTAAGATTTTAGCAAAAGTTAGTTCAGGAATAAAAATAGTAAATGTTACTTAGTCCTTTAAGGAAGATGTGATCATATTAAATATACCAGACAGTGATAAAACAAATAATTATGAAACAGGAAAGGGACCTATCTGTTATAGAAAAAAAATTCCACCACTTGAGGCAGTTAGAAAGAGATTTAAAAAAACATCAGCCTGGCTAAAAAGCACATGAAAAGATGCTCAGCATCACTAATTATCAGAGAAATGTAAATCAAAACTACAATGAGCTATCACCTCACACTGGCCAATGGCCATCATCAAAAAATCTACAAATAATATATGCTGGAGAGGGTGTGGAGAAAAGGAAATTCTCCTACATAGTTGGTGGAAATGTAAATTGGTACATCCACAGTATGGAGGTTCCTTAAAAAACTAAAAATAAAGCTACCATATGATCCAGCAATCCCACTCCTGGAGAAAACCATAATTCAAAAAGATACATGCACCCCAGTGTTCATTGCAGCACTATTTACAATAGCCAGGACATGGAAGCAACCTAAATGTCCATTAAGAGAGGAATGGATAAAGAAGATATGGTACATATATACAATGGAATATTACTCAACCATAAAAAAGAGTGAAATAATGCCATTTGCAGTAACATGGATGGACCTAGAGATCATCATACTGAGTGCAGTTAAGTCAGACAGAGGAAAGACAAATATATGATATCGCTTATATGTGGAATCTAAAAAAAAGGGTACAAAGGAACTTATCTACAAAACAGAAATAGAGTTACAGATGTAGAAAACAAACTTATGGTTACCAGGGGGGTAAGGCAGGGAGGGATAAATTGGGAGATTGGGACTGACATATATACACTACAGTATATAAAATAGATAACTAATAAGGGAGCTCTATTCAATACTCTGTAATGGCCTATATGGGAAAAGAATCTAAAAAAGAGTGGATACATGTATATGTATAACTGATTCACTTTGCTGTACACCTGAAACTAACATAACATTGTAATTCAACTATACTACAATAAAAATTAAAAAAAAAAAGCATCAGCCAATGAATTAACAATTTGTGTTTTCCAGTATGAGACACCTGGAGCTATATATTTTAGAGTAGACTTGATTCCTACTCTCTAGAAATCATAATAAAAAAGAAATTTCCAGTTAGAACACATACACACAATTTACATAATGCATGGTGTTGTGTATTATATATAATATGTTGTACGTATAATAGTATATATAATATGCTCTATACACATACATATACAGTATAAACACACATAAATTAATTTTTAAATGTTTAAATGATGATCTGTGGTCTTTGTTGATGGTAGAAGGATATAGATTTAGAATATATTTTTTAAATCAGAATTGGTTATTATTTATGTTTCATTATTATTTGAATATTATGTTTAAT